GTTTCGTAGAGCTCAACGAGTTCTATCAAACCATATAAAAATGTCAAAATGAAACTCTTACTCAATTGACATTTTACTAAAAATAGTGAAACTTGTAACAACCATATGTATTTGTCTTTTTTTGTACAGTTTTTTTCTTAGCAATGAAGTTTGTTTGTTTTTATTATATCCTATATTCAATGAGTTTTCGTATTAAACAGATATATATGGATAGTACTTGACCTGTGCTTTCCAATGATAAAAAAGAAATTTAAATTCCATTGGATAATTTTAATATTCGACTTAAAACAAAAAGTGGGGCCAGTCTTTTGACCCGCACTGTATTTCCTATACTCTACCTTTTTTTGGACAAAGTGTAGAGCAGTATGTATTGCTGAAACAGTAAGTGTTCTGTATATTTTGTCAATGCTTGATACACCTAGCATTAGAAATACTGATTATAATATATAACCAAGAGTAGTACAACGAGAAACTCTTTTATATAATGGTGTAATAGATAAGTGAAATGGTGCTTTTAATTTGCAAAGTACAATCAATGTACTGTGTTTCTTCCAGCATGGTACAAAACACAGTCCTTTTTCAAAATGAATAAATACTTTGAGTGGTTAAGAACAATAATTTTAATTGAAAATAGATAGCGCCCATAATCGAAGGTAGCAAATGATTAGGTTTCTATAATAGTTTCAAAGTGATATTTGTTTATTATGATTTATAAGAAATTTATAATAAGCAATTCAGATTTATGTTCGTAATATCGTGATTTTGAAAGGATCCATCTCTTATTGGTATTCGATGGAATCAACTTCTATTGGTTGAAGAATGATACTGAAGAGATGAATCAAATATATTGAAACCGACAAAATTTATGTTTGAATATAATTGAATGATTAAATAAGTAATATAATGTCAGTTAAATTGTTAAACCATCGTTTATCATATCTGACAGTTTTTATCAAACGTTCAGCACGTATTCAATCTAATTTCAATTTAGGAAATGAAATGAAATTGCTGAACGATAATAAACAATTCAAAAAGACACTTAAACTATTTGATGAATATGAGAAACACATTATTACAGTATCTTCAAGTTTTATCATTACTCAAGCTTTAAAAGCATGTAGTCATCTAAGAGATCTTCAACGTGGTTCAACTATTCACAGACTGATTTCATCACATATAAAAGATGATTTTTACATATTGACCTCACTAATTCATATGTATAGTAAGTTTGATGAAATTACCAATTTTTTTTTCATTTTCTTTCTTTTGATAAAGTGCAATGTGGTGATGTCGCAAGTGCTGAACTATTATTTAATAAAACAACAAATCAAACTTTGGCGATGTATGGAGCAATGATGAAAGGTTTTCATTTCATTCACATCTAACTATGTGTTAACTAGATGTTTTTTTTTTGTTTAGGTTATATAGGAAATAATCAAGCGAATATAGCAATTGATCTCTTTCGTGAAATAAAAAATCCTAATGAAGTAAATGTAATAGTTTTCTTTAATGCTTGTGCTCAAATAGAAAATGAAGAAGCATTAAATTTAATAAAAAGAATCTCTAGAGAAATTCCAAAAACTTTTTATTTAAACTTTCGTCTTGTAACTTCTTTATTGGATGCATTAATGAAATGCGGTGATGTTAAAGAAGCTGAATTATTATTCAGCAATTCAAAAGAAAAAGTAATGGATATGTATGGAGCAATGATGACAGGTTTTCATTTTTTTTTTATTAATATCTAATTATGTTAAATTAGATGTTTTTTTTTTTATTGTGTTAGGTTATATAAAAAATAAACAAGCAGATAAAGCAATTGATCTTTTTCGTGAAATAAAACATCCGGATGAAGTAAATGTAATAGTTTTCTTTAATGCTTGTGCTCAAATGAACAATGAAGAAGCATTAAATTTAATAAAAAGAATCTCTCAAGAAATTCCAAAAAAATTTTATTTAAACTTTCGTCTTGTAACTTCTTTATTGGATGCATTAATGAAATGTGGTGATATTAAAGAGGCTGAATTATTATTTAATAAAACAACAAATAAGATTTTGCCGATGTATGGAGCAATGATGAAAGGTTTTCATTTCATTCACATATAACTATGTGTTAACTAGATGTTTTTATTTTATTGTGTTAGGTTATATAAAAAATAATCAAGCAGACAAAGCAATTGATCTTTTCCATATAATAAAAAATCCTGATGAAATAATTATTAATCTATTGTTTAATGCTTGTGCTCAAAAAGGAAATAAAGAGGCATTAAACTTAATAAAAAGAGTTTATAAAGAAATTCCAGAATCATTCCATAGAAATATTAATATATCAAATTCTTTATTAGATGCATTGATTAAATGCAGAGATTGTTTAAATGCAGAAATTTATTTTTCAAAAATGAAAAAATCTGTAATCAGTTATGGAAATTTAATGAATGGTTTCAATAAAGAAAATAATCCTTCAAAAACATTAGATTTATTCAATCAGATGAAAAATGATAATATTCAATCAGATCGTGCTATTTATCTTTGTGTTATAAAAGCTTTGTCTGATATTGGTGATTATTCAAAAAGCGAATTATTTATTAAAGAAATTCCTGATTGTTTTCTTCTTGATTATCAAATAAAAAATGCTTTAATTGATATGTGGGTAAGTTTAAATGAGATTGATTATTTTTATATATTTGTCTCTAAAGAAAAAAAAAATTTTTAGGGTAAAACTGCTTGTATTAATCGTGCCGAAAAAGTTTTCAATGAAATTTCTGAACCAAATCATGTTGCATGGACAGCAATGAGTATGTTTTGATTATTTATCGTTCGAAAAAAAAAAGAAAATATTTATTTCGTCTATTATTGTTTTATAAATAGTTAATTCATATGGTTTAAATGGCATGGGTATTCAAGCAGTTGAATTATATCATAAAATGCCATCAGAATTTATAAATGAAATGACAAATATTTGTGTTTTAAATGCATGTTCACACTCAGGACTTGTTTCAGAAGCTCGTTTAATCTTTAAAAATATTCAAATAAAAACAGATAGAATTTATAATACAATGGTATAGAAAATAGATTGATCTTGGAAAATTTGCTTTTTTTTGCTTATTTTTATAGATCGATTGTCTTAGTCGTGCATCTTTTTTCGATGAAGCCGAAGAATTAATTGATGAATATGAACGTTCTTATTCACCTGTATTAGCTATGTATAGTAAGGAGATTTTGAAATAATTTATAAATAGTTGAGAAATTTTTTTTGATCAATTAATGATTAGAACTATTAAGGATTCAGTATATTTTGTATGCATTTTCATAATTGAAAAAAAATAAAAAAATACATTAAGATGAAATCTAAAAAAAACCTTCCAGTAAAATGAGGATATGTTTATTTTCTAGACATGTAAAAATTGTGTTTCGTTTTTTTTTTTTTTTTTTTTTTGTTAACAATTTACCCATAGTTCATTATACAATTAATTAAACCCTTCTCAATTTTAAATAAACATTCAAATATTTCTTGATAAATAGATTTTGCATGAAAAAATCTTTTTTTTTGTGAAGAATACAGTATATTGTGTAAATGGTTCTATTCATTATGAATATTTTATTAAGAAAATAAATTGACATCTTTCTTTTAATACATGCTAATAGATAATTAATACACTCATTTCTCAAATATAAAAAAAAGGGATCATTCTCGTATGTATTATTTGTCAAGAGTTAAAGATTAATTTTTATTTTGAATAACGATAATATTACTTAAATTGGATTATATTTTATTGATAATAATAATAAGCGCTTTTCAGAAATATATCAATCAAATTTCATCATCAATTGGAATGTATTAAGGATTCTTAATAAATTTCTATTTCAATAAGTTTATATATCGATGGAAATATTTCTTTTTTCTAGTTCACTTTTCATAGAAAAATAAATTATTTTATCGAATCTAAAAGTTTTAATATATATTTGTTATTTTAGTGGCATTGTTATCAGGTGCTCGAAATGTTAATAATAGTTGTTTATCGCAAAAAATATTCAATCGAATGAAAAAGCTTTATCCTTCAACAACAGATTTATTGACACCAGCTAAAGTTCTTCTTGGAAATGTTTATGCATCATCAGGTGATATGGACAAAGCATTAGATATTAGAATCGAGTTAAACAAGTCGGGTGCTAAGAGAAAACTTGGTATCACATGGACCGTTGTCAATGGACAATTTTTCGTAACTATATAATTTATATTATTCTTCTATAAATCTAATCAATTTTACCTTCTTAGCAATTTCGAGCGCATGATCGATCTCATCCTCGATCCAATGAAATTTATGCTGAAGGTGAAAAAATATCAAAGGAACTTCTTAAATATGGTCATCAATACGATTCAAGTTGGATCATACGACCATTGGATGAAGATGAAACTGTTGAATCTATATTTTGTGGACACAGTGAACGACTTGCAATAGCATGGAATTTTGTTGCTAATCCACATACAAAACGAATTCAACTGACAAAGAACCTTCGTGTTTGTGGTGATTGTCGTAAGTATTAATATAAATTGTTCATTTCTTTAAAATTTATCTGTTTAGATCGTTCAACAAAATTAATTGCTGCTATTCGTCAATGTGAAATCATTGTTCGAGATGCAAATCGGATTCATCATTTTTATACCAATGGACAATGTTCATGTAATGATTATTTTTGAAAATAAAAAAAAACGAGTTTTATAGACATTTTTTCTTGTCATACTTACATGCTTTGTTGGGTTCAAATGCAGAATAACAACACTCTTCCCATGTCAATAGGACAGGCTACCGACACAATGACACGATGGAAACACATATGTTGTTGGTAGCGTGTCTTGGATAGAGAACGAATATACTTTGGAGTAATGTGTAGGAAAGAAAAAAAGCGGTCGTCTTTAACACTTGGGAATCTAGTTGAGAATGGAATGCGCGAAAGAAAAATAGAGAAACGAAATAACATAAACATAGATTTGAAAATAGAAAAAAAAAGAGAAAAAAATAAAAATAAAAGAAATTCGTTTTCTTCATCAATAACTCTATTTGATTCAAATTCAATATTGTTAGAATATTATAAATAGACTTATAAAAGCATTATGATGTTCATTCTGTTTTCTTTTTATCAAAAAAATATTTTCATTTTTGTTGTATTTGAGAGATTATACTTACGAGGGAACCTCTCAAGGTGTTAAATCGCTTTTGGATTGAGACTATAGCCATTAGATAGAGCCTACTGAGATGTGCTCAGATCCATAAGGATTCGGGTGCATGGGCCTCTAGTGGCGAGATATTGGATTTTTTAGGGTATTTTTCTAATGGAGTCTTGCCCATGTAAAAATTTTTGGCAATTTAACGAAGTTTTGTGACGTGAAAATTCGTTAAAAATTTAACGATTAAAAATGTTACAATTTCGATCGTGAAAACGCGTTAAGCATGCAAAAAATTAACGCGTTTTCATGCGTGAAATATTTTAACGCGTGTTTCAGCGTTATTAATAACTCTTTTTAACGCGTTTTCACAGTCAAAATTGTAACATCTTTTTTCGTGAAATCGTTAAATTTTTAATGAACTATCACGCGTTAATTTTTCGAATAACGCGTTACACTGCGTTAAATTCGTTAGTGCACATATACAGTAGTATTTAAAATATTCTAGATCGTTATAAATCACATGTATAATCAGTAGTTTTCAGTCATGAATATTCTGTAAGTTTTATTTATTTGATCAGAAAATTTTGTATCAGCAAGTGCACTTGAATATTGTACGCAGTCAACTACATACAAGATTGCAATGATAATTAAAGTACTATATTCTTAGTTCTCTTAAGATTCAGTTTCGAATATTATGTATTTTTTTGTTTAGTAAAAGCTCAAAAAGTTATGAGTTATCACGTTCCACTATAAATCAAAAAGGAATTCGATATCCCTTTTCTTTTTGAGCTTTTACTAAACAAAAAAATACGTAATATTCGAAACTGAATCTCAAGATAACTAAGAAAGTAGTACTTTAATTATCATTGCAATCTTGTATGTAGTTGACTGCGTACAATATTCGAGTGCAGTTGCTGATATAAATTTTTCTGATCAAATAAATAAAACTTACAGAATATTCATGACTGAAAACTACCGATCATACATGTGATTTATAACAATCTAGAATATTCTAAACACTATTGTATATATGCGCTAATGGCCTTAGTAGAGATGGAAATATCAGAACTTCGAAAATGAGAATGAACTATTTAGAAGACATTTTGAATCACGTTCACTCATATTAGAATTTGCCCTCAAAAATGTAACGTAAATAAAATTAAAAAGATTTACGATACGTTTCTACCTTCAGCGCTACTGATCATGTCTTTATCTATACTCTTAAATTCATATCTCCATATAATTAGCTAGGTTCTGCTCAGAAAAAATTCATCGGGATAAAACACTTAACTACAGATTAGAATGACTAGTCCAGTGAAAAATGTCAGATTATATCAGATTATAATCTGACATTTCTCCTTGAGTAGTCAGTCCATAAACAGTAAGAATCTACGAAAAACTTAAGTTAATTTTTTGGATTTACTCAACTAATGTCAAAAGTAAGATTATAATAGATAAAAGTATCGAAAATCAGAGGATCACAAAACAATAGCAGGAGAAAATAAGTATACCGAAGAACAATGCTGTCTTTCAAACTCTCTCTCATGATGATCTATTTTCAAGTTTCT